TAAGTCCTTGTCCTCAATGTCTTCAATGTTCAAAATGTTATGAAGTGATCTGCAAAATCATTTTGAAGGGATCTGCAAAATCAGCTCACTCCGCCAACCCTAGACACTTTAGCACATCATTAACTAAAATTCAATCTTTGTTTTAATAATTCTTTTGTTTTCTTTTGAGTTAAAGTTATACAACAAATGCACAAATGTCAAATGTACCAGTCACCGAATTTTGACAAATGCATACAACACTGTAACACAAAACCCTATTAGGACAAAGAAAACAATACCAGCACCCCAGAATTTTTTCATGCCACTTCTGAGTCAGTCACCATTCCAAACTCCTTACCTAAGAGGCAGCAACTGATTTGATGTTTTTCCCCCAAAACAGTTCTGCATGTTTAAAATTTCATGTTCACGGAATCACAGTATGTGCTTTTTCCTTTCATTTAACAAATGTTATTTAGAATCATCTGTGTCAATGTATAATGTGTATTCCTTTTCATTGCTGAGCATATCAGTTTGCTAGGGCTGTGATAACAAAACACCACAGGCAGGGTAGCTAGAAGGTCACATTCAAGATGTCTACAGGTTCGCTTTCTCCTGAAGTCTCCTCTTTGGCTTATTGATGGCCCCTTTCTTGCTATGTCCTCACATGACCTTTTCTCTTTGTATAGGCATCCTTAGTATTTCTTCCTCTTCTTATCAGGATTCCAGTTGTACTGGACTGAAGTCCCACCCTTATGCCTCATTGAACTTTGGTTGCATCTTTAAAGACCTTATCTCCAAATACAGTCATTTTGAGGGGTAGGATTTCAACATATGAATTTCAGGGAGACACAAACCAGTTCATAACACTGAGTAGTATTCAGTTATATGAGGAAACCAGTTTATTTCTCTATCCTTCCATTGAAGGATACCAACGGCTGTTTCCTACTTGAAAGTATTATGCATAAGTCTGCTATGAACATTCACATACAAATCTTTTTGCAAACATATATGTATTTTTGTTTCTCTTCAGAAATATATGACTCTTACTGAATCATATTTAGTTTTACAAAAACTGCCAGGTCTTTTTAAAAAATTATTGCACCATATTATACTCTCACCATCAGTGTATCAGATGTTTGGTTGCTTTATGTTCTTGACAACATTTGGAGTTATTGGTCTTTTAATTTTGTATATTTTGGTGAGCATGTATTAACTAACATTTTACCAATCTCAAAAAAAAAGCCAATTCTAAATTGGTTTTATTTGTATAATGAACAAGTGTTCGTTATAAAATTACAGTGTAAATTTTTCATTCTTTCCAACATAATAATCATACATATCTGTTTTGAAGATCAAACACTGTTAAAGGTCTTTAATAAGAAAAAAAAAACATAGCACACCTCTTCGCTACCTTCATTTTAGTTCTTTCTTCAGTGAAAACCTCAAGTTTTCTAGCTTTTTTTCCTAATTTCCTATCTTATAGTTTATACTTCTGTTTCTTGACTTATCAATTTCTGACATCTCCTAATTTCTTGACAAAGTATATGAGGACATAGTCCTTCCATCCACCTACTATTCTCTCTCCATCTGCTGCCTCCCCTGTGAATAAGATACCACATTTTGGTTAAAATCATTGTCACTGTTACATTATCATAACCATGGAAATACTGTTCAGTGCTGAGGTAAAAAGAAGCTATAATCATCTTTCATGTCTTATCCGTCTCTTTATTTCATGGCATTAATAATTGCCTCATTTCTTTCCTTGCCTGACTTGATGTGTTCCTATTGTTAATTATTCCCGTATGTTCCAACCTCTCTTCGACATGCCCATGAATAATATTTTTCATATGCTCAAATAGATAAGTTATTTTTCTTTCCTTCAGACCTTCATATTCCTATTCTGCTCTGAACTGACTATTTTCAAGGATCACTGAGCAATTAAGACCTTTTCATTGTCATCCTGGGATGCTGCTTCTACACTTTTTTTTTTATGATTGGATTCCTGTTTTTGCTAAATCCCTTTCTTCTGGTTTCTTGGTTTAGCTCTTTATTTTGCTGCACTACAGCGTTCAGTATCTGCAGGTAGGGAGTAAAGTTTTGAGACTTTATATATCTGTAAGTGTCTACTTTTGATCCCAAATGTTACTCTCTTATGGCATTGGCCATTCCATTTTTGTAGAGAATTCACATGTTCTCTGCCTGCAGTGTGCAAGAAAACAGCAAGCTATAGCCTCTACCTTTTCTTTCCTGTGCCAGGCATGGGATCCTGTTGATTTCTTCAATAAATAAATCTCCAGCCTGTTGCTAGGACGAGAAGGTGAAAGGAATCAGTAGGAAAACTACCAGGATAAGTGATACAGCCTTGAGGGAGTTGGGGATAATAATTTTTAAATATAAATAATTGAGACCTGCTGGTGGCATGGTAATTAAGACAGCTTGATTCCACATGGTTAACTGAGTGGTTGGTTCTAGATCCAGACCTAGAGACTTGAAAAACGCAGCAGGGGCCAGCTGGTGGTTTAGTGCTTGAAGCACTGGATCTCACATGCTCTACTACATAGCTCAAGTCCCAGACCTAGTGGCTTAAAAAATACACTAGGCACATGTACATGTGTTCCCAGAGTCCTGAGGAGAGAATGAAGAAAGATTGTGAAGGACACATATAGCTTTTATGTGAAGCAATTGGGGTTTGTTTTCAGTTCTTTAAAGTATAAAGATTATATCCTTAAGAATGATTGTCCTAGTTGAACATGGCAAAACCAGCCTCAAAATGCCACTAAGCTGAAAATAAAGGACACTAAAAAGGTAAAAGTTTTTAAGAATCAAGAAAGTAGAGAACATAACAGTAGTGAAGATATTTAAACAACTTTTTGGAAAATACCCAGTGATTGGATGTGGATGGAAGTGACTTAGCAGAGATAAAGGTAGTAACCAAGTTACTGAAGAGGTAGAGCCTAAAAATAACTGAGTCTGTTATGACCTACTGTCCAGGAGAGTGTGTGTGTGTGTGTGTGTGTGTGTGTGTGTATGTATGTATATACAAACATATATACATACATACATACATATATATACATATGTGTATATAATATAATGTGTATGTATATGTGTGTGTGTGTATATGTGTGTGTGTGTGTGTGTGTGTGCATCATACCCCATACCCCAGGCAACTGTCCCAGAAAACAAACATTATACTGCATTTCCTTTAGGATGAGCTAAGAATTTGAACCTAGCATTAAGCCTGATTCAGTGTCTTGGCTAAAGCAGTTCACAGCAACTGTTTCTCTTCTCGTGTGTATGATTCAGAATCACGTTTTCATTTTTTCTTCCAGAATGGATAAATACATAACCTTACGATTGAGCTTATTTGTAGATTTATGTCATATTTGCATTAATTGATTTTATAAACCTAGCATGAATACAGCAAGCAAATTGAATGCACTCCTAGAGAATATGTGCCATTTGCTAAAATAGAAAATGTAACAGGTTGCTAAATCTGCTTCCCCAAATCTTTGATACTGGAGAAGAGATACTGCAGTATGCCTTAAGGGATCTACTAATCAGATTCAGGCCTTTGCCTCAGGACCATGAGCTTAATTGTGGCCCAGGCTGTAATTGGACTCTTATGACCATCTGGCAGCTTCTGTGACATATTAGTGGCCTTGGCCCGGTTTCTAATTGGCATGTACCAGCATCGAATTGGCATGTATCTACTTCCACAAGACAGCTTAACTTTCTGAATAAGAGCAGTCATGATATCTTTCATTTCTTTCACTGTGGTGCAATTGCTCTTTACAGGCTTTTTGTTTTAATTGAGGAAAAGCTAAAATTTCAATATTTTCATTTTGTTTTAACCCTGATCCTTTTGCATCTACTTCTCTGAACGAGAGTCTATAAACTGCTGGTCCTTGGCTTTGTATCTTGAAGAAATTACGTAGTGTTATATCACTTACTCTGACTTCAGGGCATAGACATTCTCAGTCTGCAGGCTGTCTGCAAGCCTTTGTAGGAAGATTCATCTGTAATCACTTTATACAGAGGCAGTGAAGACAAGATTGTTTTAGTAGTTAGTCAGTCATTTACCAACTTGGGCTGTGCACTCTCAGGTTAGAATGGAAACTTAATCAAGGGAACACTCAGTAAATTTTCACTCATTTTATATCTTACTTGGCAAGTTATTTGAAAATGTTGCATAAAAGATCTAGCACAGGAAACATTTTAGACTCCTCCTTATGATTAATAAATATGGAATCTGAGGCATCCTACTTTATAAATCACGGTCTTAGCCAAATTTCCTGTTTTCCTACATTTAAAAAAAGAAGAAGAAAATTTCAGGATAAAAATAGAACTCGAGTGTATAGAGTACTCAGGGGTCAAGGCAACAAACAAGATAGATTACTCTGGATCCTTCAGTGCCGAAACTGTTACCAGAGCATTAGCAGGGGCATTTATTTTGTCAGTTACTATAGAAAAGGCATTTGACACAGCTGGTTTTATAAAAGCAGAAGTAAATATGTCCTACTTCGGATTTTCTATGCTTACTTAAAAGAGGAAAAGATTGAATAATATAAAATAATATACCAGTGACTTGGAAATGCATGCTCACACACAGCTAGTTCATGGAAAACCCCAGTCACTCTATACGAAGTCTGTCTTACCACATCTTAATTTTAATCACATCTATTTCTGCCTGCATTTTACAAACCTGGTGACTATCCTCAATTTTTAAAACCTATACCACCAAACCAAACACACAGCATACACACTCACTTACACATTTGATCTTCATTCAAAGATTTTTCTGATCTTAAGTCATCTGCACTTGCTGACATTCTTAAATCCCCTCAGCTCAGCCCCTGCATAATAAACTACATGAGTCTCCCACCATCTTTCTTTCTGTAGAATCTTGACAAGTTACTCCGAAGGATAGGTGTATGGCAGGAAGTACTTTGGAATCCATACCATAAACTGACACTAAATGATGCGAAGGTGAACATTTTCTCATTTGTATTTCTTTGTAGCCTACAGAATGTTTCTTGTTACAACCAAAGGAAACAAAAGTGGATGCTACTAAGACCAGGAAGAGGAAGAAGGTAAGATTAATAATTCATTACAGTGATATGACCCCACATGGTTCCCATCACCTTTTTATATATCACACTTTGGTGAAGCAGCCATTGTAATTTCCATTTTAGAGATACACAGGTAAGATTTATAATTCATTACAGTGGTATGACCCCACATGGTTCCCATCTTCCCATCACCTTTTTATATATCACACTTTGGTGAAGCAGCCATTGTCATTTCCATTTTAGAGATACACAATACTGTAAGATTCACTGAGGTTTGGTGACTCGCCTAAGGTCACTAGTAATAAATACTTCTGTTGAAACTAAAAATAAATTCTGATCCTGTTCAGTCTTGGGCAGTACCAATCATCTTTGTTCCTTACCCTGTGTTTTCATTGTGGTTAGATGTCAGACATGGGTTTCTAATTCTAGAAGAAACCCAGAGCTACCCCCTAATTCCTCTGACTCTGCTTAAGAAAAGAAATCTACCGATCTTCTTTTCCTCCTCATTCCAGTTTTTAAGACCTTATATCTTGGAGTATTAATAAAAAGAAAAGAATAATCAGGTGAAGGAAGTGTAAGGCTTTTCTGACTCTAATTCAGACCATAATTTAAGGCAAAAGCTCCACTTCCATTTTAATATTTGCCTGTGAGCATAGCGAAGATTCTGTTGCCCCTAAACAAACATTTTTATGGCTCAGCCATGGAGAAAGAATGGTTAGCATTGACCTTGCTCTACAGTTGTGAAAACAGCGATGTAATTCTCTCCCTGCCAAGAAGGATCTACTGCTGATGTCAGCAGAGGAAATATGATTGGGATTAAAGAAAAGAATATGGACTCGAACCAGTTACTTAACAGCAAGCTTTTAGAAAACTGAGAGTGTGTGCATATGTTTTCTTTTCTCGCAAATGGCCAAATAGGAAGATGGGAGATGCCAAATTGGCTGAGGGTTGGCAAGTCCTTAAAGAAGTGACTTTAACTTCTCTTTGATAGTTTGTACACTAATGGCCTTCAGGAGTGTTAAGTTCATTCATGGCTCAAGGTCAGAATTCTAGCTAGATAGCTAAGCTTTAGCTAAGTTCATGCTAAAATGTGCCCACTGATGACATATTTTTTAAAGTTAGTTCCTTTAACAGAACCTTGACCATTCTTGGCAGTAGTAGAGAAATGAGGATATTGTGAAAGGAGAGGCAAAAAGAAAAAAACCTGGGGTAGGGGATGGGAATATGGCTCCTGCTGGATCTTTGATGAAACATTAGAAAGAAGTGAGAAGAAAAGTTCATGATAAAAATTAATGAATAATTGTGTGTTCCTGGTACATTGTAGACATTCAATAACTGCTACACAAATGAGTACAAATCAAAATGTGTTGGCAAGTATATTCTGTAATATCTGTTCTACTTTCTATAAGGCCACTTTTAGACTGTCATGTCCCAAGACTTGCAAATTTGGGACATTAAATTCCGCTTTTCAGGAGGCGCCTATGCTCAGATTACTCTGGGAGGTTTTACTCTAATGCCAGAAATCCATGCTTTGACATGGTACCTCAGAAACAAAACTAGGCAAAAAATTCTCAAAATTCTACTCTTCCAGTCATACAGATGATCAAAGGCTGAAAGAGGTTTTTCCATGGCAACAAGATTTCTTGACAGAAAATAATGCCCTATTAAGGAGACTACTGCGAAAATTCAATTTCTCCTAGAAGTCATAGACCAAGAGTTGTAAGAAGCCTTTTAGATCATCTGTTCATTTTTTTT